TAAACTCCCATTAACGGGAGTGAGGAAATAAAGAAGGCCACTAATGAGAGGAAATGCGATCTGAAGCGATAGATATCTCATTTGCTGCATTCTGCCCCATTTTGACACAATTTGCTTCAAGCCAGTTAATATGCAAGTTATCCATCTGAGAGGGCGTGAGACAGACCATTTCAGTGTCAATTTACAGCAAAAAAAGAGATTGTGAGTACCCTCCATTCTTCAGAGCTCTTTAGTCTAATTCAATTGTACCTTTCAATGCCTTATGATATGCAGGAAGTGCTTGGCTCGCCATATTACATTATGGGAGGATAAAATAGTAAAACTGATTTTTTTTTAAAGGCGGCAAGTATGCACTGGGATAAAAGCAGATAAAAAGTCAAGCTTACTTTTGCCTTTTCTGGGGGTTGAAAAGTGGCTATAAGTGCTTTAGATAGCGTTTAGCGGTAAATGCAAGGCATCCATCATCTAACTGCCTCAAATAGCAATGGGAGAAGTTATTCCTTATTGACTTAATTCAACTCTCTGCCTGACAAGAATATTCATAACCAGCTCTGGACATCACAGGAGCTCAAAAGGACGCAGTGAAGTTGGATGAAGCGCCATTGCCCCATATTCGCACCTTACAAAGAAAGCAATGTCAAATAAAGAGGTGTGCACCAATTTCCATACATATCCTTTTTGCAGTAAATATACAGTGCAAGTAGTGTGTTCACACTTCAAATTTCCAAAAAAAGAAAAAGCACTGAGTGAGGAATGTTTGCGCTAGACGACAAAATAACCTTCTAAAATTCATACACTAGAGAGTTCATTAAAAAATCCATACATTTTGGATTTTTACACCTTTTATATTTCATTCATACATCTCTGTAATTATTTGGGAAATGTACTCACAGTTTCTGAATGAACATTTTTTCAAAGTAAATCCCACACTTTTTTTTTTTCCAGTGTCGATAGTGCATAGTACGGTGAAGGAGAAGTGCAAAACAAATCACAATTCTGAAAACAAAGTAACAAATTACAAACGCAAATGCAAGTCTAAAAAACAAAATAACAATTCAGAAAACACAACAACAATTCAGAAAACAAATTAACAAGTCAGAAAACACAACGACAAATCAGACAAACCGTAAGAGGTAGGTATAGTTTGAGACAGCGTCATTGGTTTGGGATTACTCACCGCTGACTGGACGAGACATCTGTCAATCAACGTATACAGGAAGAACCAGCCGAAGAACAGCAGAGTCGTGGTAGAAAGTTTGGAGATGGTATTAAAGTAGCTCAGTTTAAATGTATTGTATGAATTGCACTTACTATGGAATTAAAAATACGGGGTGTCTATTTACATTTAGTTAAAAGTGGCTGTGAATAATTAGCTCCAGTGGTGCAGATAGATAAGCGTGTGTCGTTGGCTTTTTGACACGATCGACCCGGGTTCGATCCTGTCGTTTGCCGAACTTTTTTTTCCTCCCTTTTCAAATCTCGTATTAGCAATGGATTCTATTTACACTAAGTGCAAATACCTATTTACACTATGTTAAAACAGCAGGATTTCTACAATCAAGTATACTACTTGTTGCAAATAGTTGCAATTATCTGCACTTCAGTATAGTACATTATAAAACAGTATGCAATAACGTATTGAGTGTAAATTATAATTTTAATTTTAATTATTAAATGGATGCCACCTTATTGGTACAATAAAGCCCTCCCTACACCTACCTTAACCCTGCCTGATACTTTATTTTCAACTTTTTGATTATTTCCTTAATTTTTATTGAAAATAAATGCCTTTACGATGTAATACAAGACTTGAAAAGGGAGAAAAAAAAAGTTTGGCAAAAGGCGGGATCGAACCCGGGTCGATCACATCAAAAAGCCAACGACACGCGCTTATCCATCTGCGCCACTGGAGCTGATGTATTACAGCCACTTTTAACTAAATGTAAATATATACTCCGTATTTTTTATTCCATAGTAAGGGCAATTCATACAATACATTTAAACTGAGCTACTTTAATACCATCTCCGAACTTTCTACCACGACTCTGCTGTTCTTCGGCTGGTTCTTCCTGTATACGTTGATTGACAGATCAGTCAATTCAGTCTCGTCCAGTCAGCGGTGAGTAACCCCAAACCAATGGCGCGGTCTCAAACTATACCTACCTCTTCCGGTTTGTCTGATTTGTCGTTGTGTTTTCTTACTTGTTAATTTGTTTTCGAATTTGTCGTTGTGTTTTGACTTATTTTGTTTTCGAATTTGTCATTGTGTTTTCTGACTTGTTATAATGTTTTCTGAATTGTTGTTGTGCTTTCTGAATTGTTATTTTGTTTTTTAGACTTGCATTTGCGTTTGTAATTTGTTATTTTGTTTTCAGAATTGTAATTTGTTTAGCACTTTTCGGCCACCGTAGCATAGCTATGGAAGCCCGTTTCCACAATGGAATTAAAATAAATGTACAAATTTGACAATTCTTTTTTTTTCTCCTCACAATTCTGAGTTTATATCTCACAATTTTGACATTTTTTCCTCACAAATCTTACAATTGCAAGATATAAACGTAGAATTGCAAGATATTGTTAACTCGCAATGGCGAGAAAATAGTCATAATTGTGTGATAAAGTCACAATTTCCTTTTTTATTTTTATTTTTTAGTTTGTGGCAGAAAAAAAATGAATTTTGAGATATCATAATTCTGACTTTTACATCTCGTTTACATCTCACAATTCTGTCACAATTGCTAGATTTAAACTAACAAAAAATAAGTATTGAACATAATTTGGGATACAACTAAAACGTTTTTTTATCATAGGTCAGGGAATCATAGGTTTTTAGTGACTTGTTTCCACTAGTCCACGGGCGTAAGAAGAAACAGTGCATTTAGCAGAGTGTGTTAATACCGGTGAGTGGTTCCATGTGACACAATCACAACTAACCAGCGGAGTGCATAAAAAGGTTCGCCCAAAGAGAATTTGAGCTTCAACTCATGCAAGGCTTGCACATGGCCAATGCAATAAAGCAACAGAGAAGATGTGTAGCCCCTGTCTTAAGCATCCTGGATAACAGCAGCATTAAATCAGGGCATTGTAACGCACTGGATTTATTCCATGATCTTCTAAAATGAAACAATTTATGTATTTGTGTGCTGTGGTCCAAAAAGTCCAAGATAGAGGAATCCCACAGACCTGCAAGTAGCACATGCATTCATACCAAAGGATACGAATGGAAATTTGGAGCCGACATTAAATAATCCTTACCTAAGCTATCAGCAGGCATATTTCATAGCATTAATATTTACATCGCATCAGAGATGAAGGACTAAAATCTGAAGATGTGCGCTCTGACAAATTTAAAATGCATACATAAATAACAACAGCTGGTAGGAAATCAGGTGGCCTACACTTGACATGCATGAAGACTTGTCAAGCATGAAGGAACAGAAATATTTAAAATAAGCTATATGCTTTTTAACATTGTAACCAATAGCATTTGTCCAGCAGTGGAAACTTATTTTCATTTTAGAACATTTCGCCAAGGGCGGTTTGTGTTGAAACTTTAATATGCATCTGGTTAACACCTCAGTGTAATGTGTCTGTACTCTTGTAGTATGTTGCCAGAGTAATGTACATATTTGTTATGTTAATTATCATGGTTAAGATGTATTTGTATTAATTATTCATTTGCACTGTCCTGCAACAGTTTAGGATTAGCACAATTTGTTTTTTATTAATACTTTTATTCGGCAAGGATACTTTCACTTTAAAGTGTGACAGTAAAAACATTTATAAAGATTTCAATAAAAAAATAAATAAATACTGTTGATTTGAACTTGAAGAATCCTGAAAAAAGTATCAAGGTTTTCACAAAAATATTAAGCAGCACAGCTGTTTTCATCATTGATAATAAGAAATGCTTTTGAGTACCAAAACAACATATTAGAATCACGTGACACTGAAGTAATAGAGTAATGGCTGCTGAAAATTCAGCATTGCCGAATAAAGTGCATTTTAAAATATATTAAAATAGAAAACAATTATTTTAAACTGTAAAAATATTTAACAATATTACTATTTTACTGTATTTTTCAACAAATATATGCAGCCTTGGTGAGCATGAGACTTCTTTCAATAACATAAAAATCCAAACGTTCTGAACAGTATATGTGGACTTTAATTGCATTAATTGAACACAATAATACCCACAACTAGGCCTGTCACGATAACAACTTTTTGTTGTGCGATATATTGCCCCAGAAATAATTGCAATAAGCGATATTATTGTCATTTTAAAGACCATTTTATGCCACTGAATATATAATCATAATGTAACAGCATAATAATGCAAGAAGGCCTACACACTTCTAAATGACAACAAACTTTTAATTTTTAAGAATATTTAGATCATGGAAATTAAGTATCAAAATATTTGATACCTTAAAAACTTGAATAAATAGTAAATAAACATTTTCTAACAAAAAGTGCAAAGTAACAAGTACAAAAAAAAAAAGAAAAATGCACAAAAAAACTTATATGGAGATTTTTCCATCTACAGATTTTTCCCTGACCTTCTTTTCTCTGTAAATTAAGGGTGCACACTATTGCTGAAAAACAATCACTACTTAGCAGTCAGATGTCCGTATGCACAAAGCCACAGATGCATATCTTTGTAGAAGCATTTTTGTAATTTTAACTAGCACCTCATGACTACACCACGTTATGTACGAGAAGCTGCAAAAGACACAGGCGCAAGTGGAATGTAAAAAACATGGTGACAAATTTTTAAGTAAATATAATGTGCGATATATTGCGTCACCAAAAATTATTGAGGTCATGTACATATATTGTGCGATAAGTCGATATATTGATTATTGCGACAGGCCTACCCACAACACACCACCTGAACATCCAAAGAGAAGACTATCAGGCTTTCTAACATCAGTTTAGTACAATACAGCTGAACAACGAGAGGCTGAACTCTCCATCTTGTGATACTGGTTATTGGAGATGATGAGCCTCTCATGTCGAGGAAAATAGCAACTGCTGCCGCAACCCAATTATGAGCAGAATCTTCCCTGTTTTGTTTTCTCTTTTTTTTTACCTTGTGAACAGTAGGTCAGATGGGATCGACCGGGCAGCGGCGTTCAAAACAGACAGCTCGGCCCCTATTTGAGGATCAATAGCAGTTGCTAATGTCTGATCTGTTTCTGTCCATATTCAAATACGACGTGCTGGGATTGTAGCGCGCCTCGTCTCCTCAAAGTCATGTATGATTAGGCACGCCTGAAAGACACAATGAGAAAGAAACAGTGAGCGAGACAGAAAAGGAAAATACGTTAATTAACGAGGGCCTATCCACGGTTCTGTGTCTCTGATTCAATATTAAAGGCCTTAACCGAATACATTTAAATGAGTTCTGTACATATACCGCAATAAAAAGGTAACAGAGAGGGTACTTCCAAAAATGAAAAAGAAAAAAAATTGAATGAGATGAAATGAAACACTGACTAAGAACACATTTTCTAGCTCAGTACATCACGATATAGCTCCAGGGCTACCTTTTGTCTAAATCTCCACACTGACTTAAACTGCGCATTGTAACACGACACCTCTGATTTCATGCAATATGGAGGATTACTGAATTGAATTGAACGCTCAGCGTTTTTGTTCACATTTCTAAATTAGGATTTTCTGTCTCCATAATGACAGAGAAGTCTCTCTTTTTGCCGAATCAATGCCAGCTATTTATATGAACGGTAATCCTTCACCCGGCTCTGATCTGCCAGCACTGTGATGGTTTAAAGTAATGACTAAAAAACAAAAAAGACACCGAATGAATGGAAATTGGCTTCATTCCATGTAAAATAAGATTTCACTCGGCATCGGGAGACCCGTACAATGCCGAACTACAAGGAGTCTGAAATAAATAATCAATGCGGGCCTATATACGTGTGTGATTGGGGGGAAGGGGTGGTTAAAATGCCCCGCTTTTGTGAAAGTAAAGTGGAAATGGCTTGTAAGTAGATGTTATGGTTATGCTAGCGATTCAAATATCCTCCTTGCTTCTTGACAGAGCGAGTCAGCCTGACAAGTAGGCTATCAGCCAAGAGATCATTAAGCTAAAGGGTTGAAGTGCCATCGCCAATGTGTGGGGGATGCCATGGCAACAAGGGTTCACCCTGCTTGAGAGACAAGATAAAAACAATGAGAGGCAGGGTGCAGGGCCGTGTAACGATCGGCACTGATCGATGGCTCACTCTTTCTCTCTCGCGCTTTGCCTCTGTTCTTCCTTCTTTACAGATGGAGGGAAAAAAGAAAGGGCAGCATCGTTTAGGCTTTGTGGCTAGCAGAGCTTAGGGGGTCCTTAAACACACAAGGGGGGCGGGGGTGAGAACAGGCACACTGTGAAAACGGCTGTCTATGATGATATCAATCGGTGAAAAGTTTCTGAGAGAATTCTTCACACATTTGTGGCATTAGTACATCCAAAAATTAAAAAAAATTTCACCATTTACAGTGAGTCATTGGAAACCTGACTTCTTTTTTTCTTCTATGGAAGACAAAAAAAGATATTTTGCAATATGTTTCAAAGACTTTGTTTCTTTACAATGAAAGTCAACAGAGTGAACCAGTCTGTTTCCGGAATTAAAAATTCAATTTAAATTTCTCCACAGAGGAATTGATTTTGAACAATTAGTTATAAACTTTTAAAAACAGACATGCTGTGAGCTACAAGGCTGTTAATCGATGGCACATGCTTTTGTTAAAGCCATCAGTCTGCATTATTATTTTTTAAATAGTGTTAAACAGCAAAATTCCTGATGAAAAAAACAGCATTAACCATGATTTTAAAAAAATAAATAAATATCCCCAATCAGACAATGCATCACACAAATTGTGCCAAAAGAACTCTTTAGCACCCGCCAATGAACCACTGCAAATTGTCCAGTTTAGGGATGCACGATATTGGATTTTTGCCGATAGCCGATATGCCGTTATTTGTCAACTCATTTTTGCTAATAGCTGATGCCGATACCGATATATTTCCTTTTGTTTGGAAACAACACCAAGTCTCTCCTGTGTGAAAATTATAAGCAAATTATTTTTACTTTTGGTTAGTTTTTAACAAGAACTTATTTGTTAGAATTAAATAAACAATAATTAATTTCTTTTATAATGAAAGTAAATTGAAGCTTTGAAAATAACTATAAATAGACTATATATCAATTGCTGCATTGTTTTTCAGAAAGATGCAGTGGTAACCTTAGCATTTTATTTTGCAAATAACATTTGTAGATGGTCTAAAGCAAAAGAGTTGTAAAAATTCAGAAAGTCTTTTAGAGCTCATCATTTTTTTTAACGTATTACATATTACACTTTAATTAATAAATCAGTATACGTATATCAAATTATTTAATTTGCAAGTGTCATGTTTGTGATTTTTTTTTAATTTATGCAAGCTATAGCTTCTGACCTTTACATCAACATGACATCAATTACTGCTTTATTTAATCAGAAACACAGTCTAAATGTCATTTGTGTATTTTACTTTAATTTAAACGAGAAGTAGGCTAACAGCGTCCCCTACGGAATTAAAACACCTTACCAAAGGGGCATTAGGACCCGGGGGAGGATGCCGCTGCACGTGCTATTACGGTTTAATCTATCATACACCGAACACGTCTTTCTCTACGTGCTTTCTCAGTTTAAATGCAGCAATCCAAAACAGTGAATCTAATCATCATTCAGGCAAAACTTTGCTTCAAGAATGAGCCACACTGCTGACCTGATCTAATCGCTAGCACACCCTGAGCACATGCGAGTAAACGTATTCCTTCTATCGGCAAGAAATATCGGCATAATTTTTCATATCAGGCTGATGTCGATATGTACATTTAAAGCCATTATCGGCCGATTCTGATATCGGTTCGATAATATTGTGCATCCCTGGTCCAATTAGTTTCCCTATGCTCTCAAACTACGTAAAGGGTTAGTTCACCCCAAAATGAAAATGATGTCATTAATTACTCACCCTCATGTTGTTCCAAACCCGTAAGACCTTCGTTCATCTTCGGAACACGAATTAAAGGGGTCATATGATGCAATTTCAAATTTTACTTTCTCTTTGGAGTGTTACAGTGGGTACGGAAAGTATTCAGAACCCCTTAAATTTTTCACTCTTTGTTATATTGCAGCCATTTGCTAAAATCATTTAAGTTAATTTTTTTTCCTCATTAATGTACACACAGCACCCCATATTGACAGAAAAACACAGAATTGTTGACATTTTTGCAGATTTATTAAAAAAGAAAAACTGAAATATCACATGGTCCTAAGTATTCAGACCCTTTGCTGTGACACTCATATATTTAACTCAGGTGCTGTCCATTTCTTCTGATCATCCTTGAGATGGTTCTACACCTAACACTGTTCCAGAACAGTTCAACCCAAATATTCAGATATTCAGTGTGCAGCGCATTTTATGGAGGACTGTTTCCTGAATCTGCAAAGTAGCCTACAATGCATCTGTGCACAAAGGCTGTTTCTATAAAGTGGGGCAGTTCCAACTTTGCAAGGACAGTCTGGCGCTTCTGACTCACAGCCTGTAAGTATGTTTTTTTATATTTAAAGAATTTGCCACTGACGATTCAAACGCGAGTTTTAAGCAGTGTAGAGTAGCGCTTGTTGTTTGTCGTTTCTCCAATCACAAATGCAGACATGGAAGCTACAAGAATACTTTTTGAGCGCAAAGAAAACAAAAATAATTTATTTAAC